TAAATCAAATGTTTCTTTCTCTAAGTCCTGGCTACTTTAAGTCACACCAGCCTCAGGACTCTAGTATTTAGTAATCATTCTAAGTGTTCCTCGTTAATCTTTTCTCAGTGTAAAAAGCCTTGAGCTGATGCTAGAACCCAACAATCCAGTAACCAAAATCCACGTGGACGCTGCCTATCGAGCTGCCTAGGGAAGGGGTCTGCACAGAGAACAGTCAGGCAAGCTCACGTTGCTGCAAGCACCTGTCTCATCCCCAGCCTCCCATACAGATGCACACAGGTGAGACACCTGGGCCACATGAAGAATGTTTTGGCAGCTTCTTCCCAGACCAGCTTCAGATACTCTGTGTTCTATATTTTCCCAGTCCTAGGCTAAGGAGGAGTTTCTCAATGAGACAGCCTGTTCCAGCCACCGCCACCATTGGCCTTCATAGCTCCTCTTTAGAAATCAAGAAGCTGGGCTTGGGAATATGAGTGAGCAGCCTTCGTGCCGGAGAAGTGAGGAGCACTTGATTCCTAGCCTTTACATCCAGGTTCCTGGAGAGAAACTCCACTGTAACTTAGCCATCTGTAGTGTATCCTCCCTACAGCTGACCCTGGAGTTGTTTGGTTTTATAGCCATTATAATTAGTCATTTCCATTTATTGCTCCTTGTTTGATTTTAATTGCTGTAAAATGCAATACAAATTATGCACATCATTCAATGTACCATATTAACTAGGATTTCATTTCATTTTAACAAGATTTTATTCATTTACTATTGCATGTTATTAATCGTGTAGGTCAGTTATATAAAATTTTAATGGGGAAAAGCCATTTTCAGAAGCTAAATCAAAGTAGAGGGCCCTATGAGGGACTATAGATAGGAAACTGACTTTCATTTGTCTATGTAAACCATTTGATTTTTTTTTTTTTCGAGACAGAGTTTCTCTGTGTAGCTTTGGAGTCTGCCCTAGAACTCACTCTGTAGACCAGGCTGGCCTTGAACTCACAGAGATCTGCCTGCCTCTGCCTCCCAAGTGCTGGGATTAAAGGCATGCACCACCACTGCCTGGCTTGATTTTTTTTTTAAGTCATCTTTCTGATCATTTTTTTTTTCCTGGCTCTCCATGCAGAGTTGCTCTTCCACGGTAGGATTCAAGGCTTATGTAGTCTGATTTCGAATTTCCTCTCAAAAGAATTTGGCTAATCTGGCTTAGGTGACTATTCTGGTCCAACCAGCTATGGTTAGTTTGTGGGAGATGTAGACCAGAAAAAGCGGGAAGAATTTGTAGGATGGTTAGGTGGGATGACATTGAGGAAACTCTATCTCTTTGTGTCTTTCTGTAGATCAGAGGCAATGATGTACAGATTTTGTTCCATAGGGTCACAATGAGTGATTGCAGAGGTCTGGAATGAACAAAATATTTACCATTATTAGTATTGCATCTTGGGTCATTAACTGTTTTTGTTTGTTTGTTTGAGGATTTTTGATCTGGTATAATCAGAAAATATGTGAAATACATATAAATGTCTATGTACATTTTTTGAAGACTTTCAGGAAAATATATCAAAGAACTTTTATTTATTTATGTTTTTCAAAACACTTAATACCTGGTACTTCCATATATGAGACCTAATTTGGGCAAACTCTGAAATCTGGCATGTAATATTTCAACAATCCAGCAGAGGGCAGGCCTCTCAAACGTAAATGTTCTGTGCTGAGGTGAGACAAGTGGATTAGCAAGAGTCAGCAGTGCATAGAAGCTATTAGGGCTTTCAGAAATCCGTGCTGCTATCAAGAAATAAAAGCAGATGAAGCCTCTACAATCGGGGTAGGCACCAGTCTGGTCACAGGAGATGGCCAGTTCAGGCTACGTATCCGCTATTGCTAGAAGTCTTAGCTGGGGTCATCCTTGGAGATTCCTGGGAGATTGCCTTGTGCCAGGCTTTTACCTGATCCTGAAATGCTTCAGCCGCTTTTCCAGTAGTCTCTTTCAATACCCTCTCCCTCCACCGCCCCCGCCCCCGCGCCCCGCAAACCTGATCGCTCATATTCCCATCCCCACCAACCTTAATCCACTCACGAAATCTCTTCTATTTCCCCTTCTCAGGGAGGTTCAGGTATTCTCCCATGAACCTTCCTTGTTACCTAGTCTCTCTGGTTTTGCGGATTTATTTTACAGCTAGACAAGAGTTTAATCCCGCAGAGCAATCCTGCTTGTTTGTTAGCTGCCCAGGTAAGTTGCTGACCCTACCTCGGTTTATGCCTGTTTCTCAGCATGGGGGTTCTTGGAACTAATGTCACAGTTTCTCAAGGGAACTTATCCTCGAGGCCAGACGAGGAGAAGAAGGCTTCTTATGTCTTCCTAGGCCAATGGTGCAAACCATTTCCTCTGGTTTGCCCTTCCCTCTGAATAGCACACTTGCAGGAGCCAGACTTTCTACAGAGGGTAGCGGTTTTGACACTCAACATCCTGCAGGCCTAAACCTCATCCTGCCTTGCCCTGAGCATCATAACACAATCCCGGCGTACTTAATCTGGAAACCCTCACCCTGAGTGGCTGCAGCATCCACACATGCGCTCACGTCGAGTTGTCATTGCTGCTGTATTTTCGGTCCCAGAGGATTTTCTGAAAATTTTTTTTTTCCAGCATCCAGCTCTACCATAAAGGCCACCTATTTTATACCACTGGAAATAAGTTTTGGGGGCTGCATAAGTAGCTTATATTTCTGGAAGCAAATGTTAGTTTAAAAAATGAAGCGGTAAATATTTTAAAGGTTATGATCACGTTTTGAAAAAACTTGGAAGATTCTGAGCAGCAGGGGTAAGTTATGCCTTTAAGGAAAGAAGATGCTGTTGTCCCACGGAGAGGCAAAATGAAGAAGAGCAGGCATGGGGCAGCGCGGCATTGTGATGCCATCAAAGAGACTCTCAGTCTGGAATTCTGAGGCTGAAAGAATTCAAAGAAATGTGTTGCCTGCACCAAAACTGTTTACTTAGGACTGAATAGGGAGGCCATTGGAAAACGGAGTGCTCAACAGGGTCCTCCTCCAAAATATCTCCCCATTTGAGGAGTTACCTGGTTCTTGTAAAGAGGGCTGGAGCTGGTTAGCAATTCCACAGGTTTCCATTGGATTCATTGTTAAGGAGGGACACGAAGGAGGCAGAGTTGCTGGAGCCCACAGAATACATAACTCAGCAAGGTGCAGTAGGCTCCCTCTGCACATTCCGGTCATGATGCTCACAATAGTCCTTCAGTTTAAGGAGTTTCTCTTTCACTCATGCTTTCCTTTCTTTTGTCAGGAGAAAATGTTTGTTTTTAACAAATAAATGCACATATTTAATTTTAATTTAAATGAGGCACTTAAATTTTTAATTTAAAAACTTAGAAATTAAAACACACATGTATGAATGTACTAATATGTATGAATAATAAACTTAGAAATTAAAACACACATGTATGAATGTATTAATATGTATGAATAATACTAATAACAAAGAACCTCAGAAAATTCCACGTTGAGGGAGATATCTACATGTGCATGTCATACTGGAATGAAAAAAAAGAAATTAAAAAAAAAAAGGAAAGGAAAGGACATGACTGCTCCTAGGTGTGGTGGAGGAGAAAGTTTATTATAGATATGTAGGAGAGCATAGTCAGAGGCAGGGACATCTGGGAGAGTCCAGAGTGAACATGACCAGACTGAAGTGGGTCATGTGGGGAGAAGGGAGAGAGGGAACCAGGTGCAGCAGCCAGGAGGCCAAAGGTACAAAAGAGACAGGCAACCAAAATGTCTGGATTATATAGGGAAGAGCCTCTGGGGAGGGGCAGCCCAGTCCCTGGATTGGAGAGTTCAGGGTAGAAGGTGGGATATGCAAGCCATACCCTGTTACAGGTAGGGACTAAGGGGTGCTGGGAGAACCTGGAGGCCAGGTCCGCTTTGATATGTTAAATAAATACCTCAAGCATTTGTCCTGGTGTTGAAACTTAACAATATTTGTGTTTATACCAACATTTTTTCTTTATTCAATTAAAATATAATTACATCATTTCCCCCTCTTCCCTCCTTTCTACCCCATCTGTGTCCTCCTCCAAACCTCAATTCCTACTCTAATTATTGTTACAAAACATATAAATGGAAAACTATATAACAATAACCTGCTGAGTTCATTCAGTATTGCCTGAATGTATATGTTTATAGACACCCCGGGTTTCTATTGTTGTGATGAAACACCATGAACAAAGGCAAGTTGGGAAGGAAAGGGTTTATTCAGCTTACATTTCCATATCACTGTTCATCATCAAAGGAAGTCAGGACAGGAACTCAAAGAGGGCAGGAACCTGGAGGCAGGAGCTGATGCAGAGGCCATGGAGGGGTGCTGCTGACTGGCTTCCCATGGCTTCTCCAGCCTGCTTTCTTATAGAACCCAGGTCCACCAATCCAGGGATGGCACCACCCACAATGGGCTGAGCCTTCCCACATTAATCACTAACCAAAAACCAAACAAATGCCCTATAGCTTAATCTTGTGGAGACATTTTCTCAATTGAAGTTCTATGTTTTCAGACAACTCTAGCTTGTGTCAAGTTGACATAAGACTAGCCAGCACAATAACAAATCAAAAATCTCATCCCTGGGAAGACCAATTGTCCTTCTCTCGACAGTTGTTAATTGCTTGAAGCTCTTCAATAAGACATAAATTTGACAGCAAACAAATCTCTAGCATGTATACCAAATCACAGAGATTAAACAACTCATTACTGAGTGAGGAGTAGGTCACGGAAGAAACCAGGAAAGAAAATAAAATATTCCCCGAAACTAAATGGAAAAGAAAGCACAAGAAAACTTCTTTAACTGCCCCTAGATCTGCATGGAGGGCATGGGGTGATTAGTACTTCTTTGAGGGAACGTTAAGTGGGCTTTCTGGCTGATTTTTGATTATCGGATTCTGCACATGCGCATTGAGCACCTTCCCTGCTAACATACTGGACAGCTCTCCAAAGAGAATGTGCGCCCATCCCTGGCACGAGCCTGGGCACCAGCTTGCTTGCGTTTATCAGCGTTGCTTGGCGACCACGTTGCCAACTGCGTCTGCTACTAAGCCAGCACAGAGCTTCCCTACTGAGACATTGTGGCAAGACTTGGCTCTGAGTTTCCTTCCATATTCAAACATTTAGGAGCTGGCTTATTATAAACCTTGGTTCTGGGTTTGGGAGAGGCCATCTTGGCGTAGTCTCTTATTTTGGGTTGGGGATGCAGGAGAAGCTTAGCGGTAAAGAAGGGGCCTGTGAAGCAGACAACATTTACCATGGAGATATTCTTTCCCAAAAAGGAAAGGACGCCCCTGGGATTCTGTGATGGCCTGGATAAGATCTTCATGGGCTTTGGGAACGAGGACGAGAGAGGCTGTGAGCCGCCCAAATACCACACCAGCTATGCACCTTATTATCCTATCCACAAGGCTGCAAGCATGGGCGACATAGACACTGTGAAGAACTTCGTCAAACGGGGAGTTTTAGTCATGGAACAAATAGATTGGAAGTACAGGTAACACGGGCTGGGGCTGGGGGAGAGTGGACGGGTGGGTACCTTGGAGGGAGGCACGGTAACTGGGGAGAAGGCCAGCTTCCTGTCTGAGGGGAGAAAAGAGAAGCATCTGTCATTAATCTTCGGATGTACATCTGAGAAGGGTGTCGCACCCAACTGGTCCTCGTTAACAGAGAAACAAATCAAGTAGTGCTTCACATCCTTGACAGTTCTCCTTCTAGAGCACTGACTAGCCTTTTCAAGGATTTCAACAAAGTTGTATAATACAGCTTTCGTGTATCCATTGGGGGAAAAAAAACATAACGTCATACACATTGTGGAAAATTGCGTAAGAGAAATTTCTAGTATGTATCAACTTACCACCTAAAAGGTTTTCTTATTTTAAACAAAAGTTGATACTCACTATGTCAGTATATTTCTATGTATCCATGTGTGCAGGACTGTACATTGTTTACTGAGACAACTTACAAGAGAAGATGGTTTGTGTTCTCCTATGTATTCACTTATTTCATCTCCTTTAGTTGTGGGTACCATGTTCACGTCATGATTTTCTGTACTTAGAGCTCCTCCCTCACAACTTTAAACACTCCTGAAGGGTCATTTGGTGTCGTCCTCATAAGCCACTGTGTATTTATAATAAGATTTGATGATGAGTCTTGGTTTTCCCACCAGAGTTAACTCCAGTGATTTCTATCACACCATATGGCTCACTGACACCTTTGACAGTTTTCAAATCCCTAACCTCGTCTTGGCTTTTCAATTTGGTCCCACCTTTGGGTCACTACATTTTCCCAGTCCTTCCTAGGCAGATGCATGGGTTCCCAGTGTTCCATCACCGCTCTCTCTTCAGGTTTTTCTGCATTGGTGCCCTAAGAGGTGTGGGTTCCATAAGCAGTGCCCAGGTCCTACTAGTTCTCAATCATCAGGGCTGTGGTATCTGAAGCTGAGTGCTCCCTGGCACATACAGTGCTTTGTTCAGAAGGGTCCCAGCAGGGTGCCTTGACCCTGGCTCCAGGCTGGTCAACAGGAAGAATCTATATCCTAAAACACAGAAACAGCTCACATCAGGGAATATTGACTCCAGTGAAATTGTCCGATCTTTGCATTAAGAGGCAGTATAATGACACTTCAGAAGAAAATCAAATTTTAAAATGCAGGGTCCTTAAATGCTATCGGTGATTATAATTGCATGTGTAAGTTTTGAGAAAATATTCTTTAAGTTCATAAAAAATCCCTTTCGTACTCACAGAACTGCCCTGCATTTTGCCTGTGTCTATGGCCATCCAGAGGTGGTGGCTTTCCTGGTGGAGAACAGCTGTGAGATTAGTCCAAAGGACATTAAAGATGCCACACCTCTAATTAAGGTATGTTACTGCCATCAGTTTCAGATGATATGAATTCGAAATACATTTTTACATTAAAAAAATAAAGCTTACATCATTTAAATGTAACTAAATATGGAAGCCTATGGAATGCTGATCTGGAGTTCTTTAACATTCTGTGTGTTGATGTTACAGGCTGCACAATGCAGACAGACAGAATGCCTTGATATTCTGCTGAAGTATGGTGCTGATCCAGATGTTATCGACTGTCGTGGCAACACCGCTCTGCACTATGCTGTCTACAACGGGGATATCAAAACAGCCGCAAAGCTGCTCAAATACAGGGCAAACATGGAAGCAGTAAATGAGGTATACACCACCCACCTTTAATTCTAACGCATTTGAAACACACATATTTTAACAGCCCTGTGTATGTAGAGTCAACTTTCTGTCTTTTCAAAGCTCTAGTCCTCTAATGGAAATGTTTTTGAAATAACTCAACCATTGAAGACACCACTTTAAATATTGGTACTTTTAAAGAAGTATTACACAGTACAGCTTTCCGGAATGCATTTCTGACAAATGTTTATCAAAGCAATGAATCTGCTAAAGCTCCAATTTGCCTGTTTTTAAGTCTGACAAAAGCTTTTCCTTGGTTAGTTAAAAATGACACCCAACACATTTGCCTTTGATATCAACTTTATCTTAAATGAGAGAGAAATGTTTTCTGATAAATGGGCATCTGTATGCTGCAGATAAGTTATGTCATGTGATCAAGCTGTGAATGGTAAAGCCAAAGAAGGGAAACGAAAAGGGAAGTTGATGAGAAATACTCATACAAATATGGGAATTGGATAATTGAGGAATAGTTGAGGGAAGAATACAAAGAAATCTTGATTTTTTGAAAAATGATTCACTTTATATTTATTCTGTGCCCTTCAGCTTGGTGATAATAATTCCTAATTAGGGAACATTACTAGTTAACAAGTGTGCCCAGAGGCGAATTTTAGTAGAACTCTGAAGAAATCAGACTGTCAATGAATAGGTGGCAATTACACAGAAAACAAAAAAGGGAAAAATAAGTGATTCACCGTGAAATGACCCTTGTCGGACAGAAATTGCCACTTGGATAAGAGTCTAAAGTCGCCGGGCGGTGGTGGCGCACGCCTTTAATCCCAGCACTCGGGAGGCAGAGCCAGGCGGATCTCTGTGAGTTCGAGGCCAGCCTGGGCTACCAAGTGAGTTCCAGGAAAAGGCGCAAAGCGCAGAGAAACCCTGTCTCGAAAAACCAAAAAGAAAAAAAAAAAAAAAAGAGTCTAAAGTCTACTCTGAAATCTACAATGCTTTACTGGGACTTGGGAGATTTTTTATGCTGCATTTTTGCATAATCCAGTTATATTCTGAAATTTCTATTGCTACTTCTGCCCCTATCTTGCAAGTGAAACGGAGTTTCCAGCAAAGGCAGTATTTGTCTGTTTCTCTCTTTTGGCCAAATCCTGAAATGATAAAGAAAACTGGTTTACCTGTGAGAGACAAATTAGAAATGATGCTTTTCTGCTTCCCCAGGCAAAATAAATAAATAAAAATGTGCAGCACAATCATCTGGAGAGAGTTTTGAAAATACACATGTCTAGACTTTACCTCTAACGTCTGAATCGGCATATCTAATAAGACCCAGGCATAAGCATTTAAAAATGTTTCCTCCATGTGATGGTGAAAGTGTCCCCCCCCACTTGTCCTGGCCACCTGTGGTGGGCAAGGGAGCTGATCCCCCATATTACCAGCTGCAGCACTTGGGAAAGTGGCCCCTGCACCTCACCTGCGCAGCACAATAGAACTGACCTTATTGACGGAGGTGGGGGGGATAGGTGGGGGGATGGGGGTGGGCTGGTGAACTGTCCCTAAGAACTTAATCTTGGGAGATCTGGCCCTGCTTTTCATCTGCCATACGGTGGTGTGGGCAGGTCAGAGATGCCCCGCCCCCGTCCCACCCCTTGCTGCCTGTAGCAGGTGGGAGAGCTGCTTCTGAGGTCCTAAGAATGGCAGAGCGTCCCTGCCCCTCACCAGCTGCAGCACTCTGAGCCTGGCCTGGGTGACAGTAGAGTTGGCCCTGAAGGTGTAGGTGTGGAGGAGCCAAAACTGAGGGCAGGAAAGCAGAACTGCCCCGCCCCTTGCTCATTGCTGTGAGGGGTGAGCTAGTCAGAGCAATGTTGGAGAGCTCCCCCTGGTGCTGAGGACAGGGGAGAGTTGGTAGGCTGACCAACCCTGCAACTACCCAGGCCCAGAATCAGGGTTATGAGTTGGCCCACCTCAATATCCACCCCATCTGTGATCTGCTGGAGCACGTGAAATGACCTGACCTGCAGACCCAAAGCTGCAGAATCTCTATGACACAGGGCAACAACAGGATATCCAAGAGGCATCCCAGTGACGGCCCTGTATCAATAGTGTAGTAGAAACCAGAGGCCTCGAACCAGACCAATGACTCTTTGCAATGAATACTTGCAAGTAAAGATACATGGACAAAAGGGTATGTGACTCACTGTGACACACCACAGCTTCCATGATGAGATTTTTCCTGTTTTTTTTTTTCTTTTTTTGTCTTAAATTTTATTTTATTTTATTTTGTAGGGGGAGGTTGCAAGGGCAGAAGGCAGGCATGAAGGGATGGGAAGTGAATGAGATTGAAATGCCTGATGGGAAAGACACAAAGAATAAATAAAATCAAAGTTAAAAAAAAATGTTTCTTTCGGTTCTTCAGTTCCTAGAAAAGAATTTTGCATTTTTGCACACAAAATGTGAACCACACCCACAATTAAGGTTTTTTTTTTTTTTTTTTCCCAAAAGGCTAAGAACTCAATGGAGTCCAATATAAACAGTGTTCTCCAGGAGCTGATCCACAGTTCAACTCCAGGAGATCCTTTTTAAAAATTTTATTTTACTTAAAAAAAAAAAAAAGTTGTGTGGGGGTGTTTTGCCTGCAGGCATGTAAAATGTACAACATGTACACAGTACCCATAGAGGCCAGAAGTGGGTATCAGATCCTCCAAAATGAATTACGGATGGCTGTGAGCCACCGTGTGGATGCTGGGACTGGGACACGGGTCTTCTGCAAGAGCAGACAGTGCTCTTAACCACTGAGTATCTCTCTAGCCCAAGGAGATCCTTAAAGAAATATGGGTTTCAAGTTGCTCTTAAGTAACCAAGTCTAGACTGCTTAGCGCTCATTTTATTGTCTGTCACCTGTGATGAAGGTGTCCCTACTGTCTGAGGCCCACAAGTGCTCCAGTTTGCTAGGGACTCCTTCAGATCACCAGATATCATCTACCTAAACGTGTGTTTGCACGAATAGTTGCTTTATGGTGTTTTGTGACAGAGATTTTAAACTTCCAAACAATTTATAGGGTATGGCCTATTTTTTTTTTCCTGTTACTCCCTTAGAAATGGGATTGAATTTTAGAAGTTAGGAGTTGTTATTTTAAAACTTTATCTCAAGCCGGGGGTGGGGGTGGTGGGGGTGGTAGGGGTGGTGGGGGTGGTGGCGCATGCCTTTAAACCCAGCATTCAGGAGGCAGAGGCAGGCAGATCTCTGGGAGTTTGAGGCCAGCCTGGGCTACAGAGTGAGTTCCAGGAAAGGCTCTAAATCTACACAGAGAAACCCTGTCTCAAAAAAAACCAAACAAACAAAAACAAGCAAACAAACAAACAAAAAACCCCACAAAAACAAAAACAAACCCCAAAACTTTATCTCTTAAACACATTCACATCGAAATGCCTGTATGTACTATTAGGTTAACTGTAGTTAACTCTAAAAGGTTATGGCAACTGAAGACAAAATTGTATCATTTTGTACCAAGGAAGATGACCTACTGACTTTCCTCAATATAAAAGAAATGCGTATAGATCAGTGTTAGAATTATTATTGATAAAACCATTGTCTTTTTTGCTCAGAAACAGCTTGAAGTGGTAATTAAAATGAAACCAGACTAAAAATAGATTAAAAATAGCATATGAAAAAGGCATGGTGTCACAAATCCTAGCATCATAACACTTAGAGAAGAACTATGAGCACAAAACGCTAGCCTGGAATACATAGGGAAATTCTGTCTCAAAAGGCAAAAAACAACTGTAACAACCCCCCACCCCCCAAAAAAACGCAAAAGTAGTTGTGCTTCCGAGTCATGAGAACATCATCATTGTCATCATTATCATCCTCATCATCATTTTGGAACTCACTATCCAGACCAGAATGGCCTTGAACTCATGGAGACCTGCCTGCCTCTGCCCCCCACGTGCTGAGACTAAAGGTGTGCACCACCACACCAGGCCTGAGAATATTATCATAATTGAGAATGAAATTTCCTACTGAGCTCTCTACAGTTAAATAAGACTCTCATTTTTATAATAAGAGCAAGTAAAGTTCTTTCGAAGCCTGTTCATTTAAGTGGGAGCCCATTTTCTGAAATGCCGATATTGGTGTCCCAGGATCTGGCACCACACATAAAAGGGAATTAACAAGTTTCTCTGCAATTGAATGAAATGTCTGCTGCATCTCAAAATTCTCAACACTGTGTCCCTTGAACCCCACATCCTTAAATGCTAATGTCTGCCATAAAAGGCAGTTTCAAAAAAGTAGAAATTATGAAAAATGAAGGGTATTTCCCTGATAGAGGACCTGTACTCCTCCTCCTCCTCCCCTTCTTCTTGTTCTTGTTCTTCTTCTTGTTCTTGTTCTTCTTGTTCTTCTTCTTCTTCTTGTTCTTCTTCTTCTTCTCCTCCTCCTCCTCCTCCTCTTCCTCTTCTTTTTGTCACATTCCCGGACAGGTGGTCATGCAGTCTTTTTTTGGGTCATGAAATGTCTGGAAAAGAGATCTTTCTTTGTAATGCAGAGAGAAAGAAAATACAGATGAGGAACTTTAGCTCATTTGCAAGCAATAATACAGAAAGTTTTTGCTATTGTGATCTTTGTTGTGGGTTGTTGAAATAAAGATACAGAATCAAGAAGCTTTTTAGATAGGAACAACCACATGGCCCCAAGACACCAGTATGCATGTTTTGACAAAAGCAAAAATCTGTAGCAATAGGAAACGTTTGCCATGGATTTGGGAATGAATATATGTGCTCACTCTGGGTAGGGGGATTTCACAGAAAAGGGGGAGCCCACGTGGATGTCAGTGGATTGAAGAAGAAATGGCCAGTCATTTATTGTTGGCATTTAAGATTATGTGCCCAAGGAAATTATTAATTTCAATTTATCACTGATTTTGTTTTGACAGAACAAGATCACACCACTTTTGCTTGCTCTGAAACAAAACAAGGAGAAGATGGCAGAATTCTTAATCAACAAGGGAGCCAACACAAAAACATGTGACTTTCTGGGAAGGTAAAAAAGTCCTTGTACCTTAGCCAGGCGGTGGCACACGCCTTTAATCCCAGCACTCGGGAGGCAGAGCCAGGCAGGTCTCTGGGAGTTCGAGGCCAACCTGGTCTACAGAGTGAGATCCGAGACAGGCACCAAAACTACACAGAGAAACCCTGTCTTGAAAAAAAACAAAAAAAAGTCCTTGTATTTGAATAAAGTTAGTGAGTTTGGTGTTGTAACTATCACCCAAGCCACAGTGTTAAATACATAGGAAGAAGAATGTAACTTTTACTTACTGAGATAACATTAGCCTAGACCATCAGTTTGGTACAAAAGGAAGTATTCAGTGTGAACAACAAAAAGACAACATACAATAGGCTCTATATTTCCTGATAATACAAAATGATGTTGATTGATTGTATTGCAACTTATTCATCAGGCAACTTATTTAGCTAAACAGATCTCATATTTTATTTGTTTTTAAGGTGTTAATTTTAATTTTTTAATAACAGTGTGACTCTTAATGTCTTAATAGTATTTGTCACTCATGCTCCTCATATACTGCTTCCTTAAAAATGAAAATCTGTTGGATGGCTGTTTGAATTAAATTTCTTTGCAAAATATTATATGGTTATCTCTCAGTAACTGTTAATTCCTATTACCACATGGTACTCTACTTTTTCCATTTATTCCCTCTGAATTTATTTTGAAACTTTATTTTTTGGCATGGTCAAAAGAACAAGAAACTGCTTTTATTGAATAAGTTTGGATGAGTAAAAATCACAGTTGGGTGACAAGAAAAAACCTCAATATTCACACAAGACTGACCTTAATTCCAGCCTCCATACTTCCTGAATGTACAACCTCAGGAATGTTGCACATCGCTAGATTTACTTCCTGATTGAAAAAGCAGGGTTATGCGTGGACATAGTACGTATTATGTACTATATAGTTCTAGCACATGGTCATCTGCTACAAACGTCGTTGCTACCATTATTATTAGAATCACTTATTTTATAATTATACTATTATCATGTTAATCACGCAAATAAGCTTTTCCCCTTTGCTCTTTAGTTTATGAATTACAGTATATTGTGTCAGACTAGAAAAGAGACAAAAAATTCTCTACTTAAATATTCACCTACTTTGAGAAATAGCCTCAGTATTTGTGAATGAGAGGACATGGGGTTCTAAATTCTACTATTCTACCTTAGTGGGAGAACAGGCCTTCTGTTTAGTTTTTCTTGATTTGTCTGAGAGATAATTTACAGGATGAACATTTGAGCTCCCAAGATGTTTATGTCTGTTAGTAGATTGTCAGTTCTACATATACAAGCAATATTTCAAACTGGTAAAACATATTCAATGAGGTGTCTAACAACTTTATTAAAGTACCTAACAGCCGGGATCTACCTCTGCTCTTTTAGAAGCACCCTTATGTATGCTGTAAGGTGTGGGTCAGAACTTATCATCAAGCTTCTTCTTCAAAGAGGTATAGATACCTTTAAGCAAGATGCCTTTGGATGGACAGCTAAACGTTATGCTGTTGAAAGTAAAAGCAAAGTGTAAGTGTTCACATTTACTTGTTAACATTAAATAGAGATGCAAAGTAATTACTAATACCACATCTTATATATTTAGTTTAGGTTGTCTTGGAATGGCAGTGACATAATCCACCCTATCATCCAGAAACTAATCAAAGCTCTAGATGAATTAGAAGTAGTAATGGACGCAGGATTCTTTGTCTCTGGATTTTTATTTTGACTGTTTGTGTGTAGTAGGGTGGGGGTAGATGCTGGCAATTGAACACAGGACTTCACATGATTTAGGCAAGTATTTTATTGAAGGACTATATTACTATCTCTTAGGTTAGGACTTTTCAAACTCTATAGGTGAAGAAACCAAACCCTACCTAGTCTTGAGAATGCATAATGATACCCACCAAAAGAAACCCAGAGTTGAGCCTTGTGGAGTTATGGGCAACATTATCTGAAGGAAACACACACATACTCAGCAAAAGGACTCCTACTCCCAGAATTCCATGGACATCAGCTCCCAGTGAATGTTAATCCTTTCTGCCAGGGCCATGTGATCTCTGTAGGTTGAGTGTTACCATTTTCTAGCTGCTGCTGTTGCCTTTTGCCACATAGTGTGCCCCCGCCTTTTACTTCCAGAGAGATAGGACCAGTGGAACATTTGGAGTTCCTGGATACCCTAAGGAGGCTGGAATATGACAGGGGTCTGGGAAATATGGACCACTTGTTGATTCCAAGAAACCTGAGTGAAGGACATTTGGGGACCTGGTAGACCCTGGGGCACTTGGATACCTGAGTAAATTGGGAATTGGAATTTGAGGGACCTGAAGGTATTTTGGGGATCTGAGGTCACTGGAAGTCCTTGTGAGTCTGGGGGCATTGGGTGATCTGGGTATTTGGGGGGACTGAAAGGCCAGGAGTCATTCAGACCTAGGGGCATCAAGATGTTGGGTGCCATTGGGTATGGTGGGATATGGGAGGACATGGAACATGTTGTTGAATTGAAAATTGCAAAAAAATCACTTGACATCTGCATATTGATATCAAGTCCATACTAGTATTTTACTAGTTCTGGAATTTTTAGACTTTTATCTTCACTATCTAAGCATTTTGCATCTTTAGTCCAAATATAATCCATACATTTGAGGTATGAATAATTTCACATTGTTGTTAACTAGCTGTTTAGATTTTAAAAAGTTAAATGGATGATTTTTCTTCGAACTTTGTGATGAAGAATAGAATAGATAAAAACAAAAGCAGGCCTTAATATTTTTGGTAACGTCGATATAAGAATATCAGATCTTTCAAGGAAATACATGTTGAGGGTTGTTTGGGAGTCTAAAACAGTTCAGCCTAAAGAGATGATCTTGTTGCTTTTCTATTTGTCATGCATACTTCATATTACCTTATTTAGTCATATCATCCTGGTATACAAAAGCAGTTAAGTCATTATTTTTTAGAGGAAGACATTAAGCCTAATAGAAATAGCATGTCCAAGAACAAACAGCTATTGGCTACAAATGTAAGATTTCTTCTGTGTTCAAGATGCTTTCCATCATGCTGAGAAAATTTAGTTCATGTATGGAGTTGGCTTGCTTTTGATTCATGACCGTCCTGCTTCATTTTTCCTTGTTCAGTTATAAGCTTGATAAAATACAGAATCCACATGTTTGTAGCATATGCTTAAAGGCTCTGATAGTATCATGGATAATGCCTGAAATACTCCTCTGAGTGTAATGTGACAGGTGAGTGTTTTCATATCAACATTGAACTAGTAGATTGATTTACCATTCTTTTGGTCCATGACAGTAGGACACTACTTATTGACTATGATGAAGAGGAACTGAGACAAACATGTTTAGGTAAGAGTTCTGATAGTGAATTACTGGGAAAATTGAAACTAAATGTAAATGGAATTGCTATTTTTCTTAACTTGTTTTCTAAGGGCTTGGAAATCAGAATCCTTTAAAAAAAAACTTACATGAAATTTTTAATCCAAAAAAATCTTGTGTAAAATTCTTTTTACTTAATTTCCTTGAAATTTGTATATCATTATATAGAAAGAAAAAATACTTTAAAATTGCATGATTGTCACATTAAAATTGGATTTGTTAAAAAAATGGATTTTTTCTGAAATATTGGAATGAGCTTACTGAATTTAGTAAGTGAATATTATTATATATGATGTAATATTCTCTAATCAGCATTGGGATTTATTCATCTGGGCTCATAGTCAGCTCTTCTTCATGGAGATCATATTTTTTCTATTAACCATGTTGTTCACCCTGACATATGCATACTTTTTGTATTCCTTATGTCCATTGGGAACAAAATCATACTTCCTAAATCATAACCATGTACTTTATTTACTGTGTGTTCCTCACACATGGCGTGAAAAAGCAGGAAGGCATGCTAATGGGAGGAGGGAGAGGATTAGCATGAGGAGGACTGAGAGGAATGGGGAAGGATAATGTGAAGGGAAAAACGAGAGGACTGTATCATGAAATGTCAAGACTAAATGCATCACTTTGTATATTAACTTTAAAACTGACAAAATGCATATTCATGTTTTCTATTAATGTACTTCTATCCTGTCACTGAACTTACTTATAATTAGTTTCAGAGATAAGTTCCAACAGCCCCAAAGAGCTATGCTCAGCCACCCATCCCAATGAGAATATTAACATTTCCAGTAAGTGTGAAAATCAGAGAAATATTCAGTCAATGCACATATTGGGAAGAAGAACACATAAAGGAATACCAACCTCACCTTCAGGGTCCTAGCACAGATTTAGGTACAAGTAATGTCAGAATTGAGGCAAGCTGAAGAGGGTGCATAATTCAGAAGTCATGGTTAAGGTGTGTCTGAAGGACACTGTGCCAGTTCTGATCTGTAAAGTGATCTGAAGAGAGTCCTTGTTGGTTGAGGGGACAAGCTGCTTCTCAGGACATGATTGCTCATGCTCCAGGGACAGCCTTGCCATCATGGATTACTAACTTTCTCAGGGGACAGGTTTATCATGCAAGGCTCTTTTGTCCCCAGGGAAAAGGTTTCATAGGATAAGTAGAAGTCTATAGGTACCATTTGAGAAACTTGAATGGGAGACTGTAAAAGCTGATAATAAGTTGTCTCAGTTACTCTTTGTGAGATCAACCCTGAAGAGGAATGATATAGGTCAGGCATCACTATGTTTTAGGAGGACAGTTCTTTAGTGTTTAATATGCCTGTGTGCCAAAGTTGGTAGGTTACACAACACACAGGAGAAAGATTTCAAATGGAGAGATGTCGAGGATTTTTCACATTTTCATTTGCATTCCAGGACCAAGTGAGGTATTAGTGCTTTTTAGCACGGTTTCTAAGCACCTATTGTTTCATGATGAGTTACCAAAATTAAAATACTTAATTAGAACCACAGACACAAGAATTCTGCTCATTTCTGTGTCTTTGTGAATGCTGATTCCCTTTGCTGTCTACATGGATTGATTGCATCTTCTTTTGCTTTGTAGAGATCATGAAGAAAGATGCTTGCTCAACGGTAATGACTTTTTATAATTTTCTTGAATTACTAAACAGATACTGTATGAAATGTCCAACACTTAATAATTACCCTCTTTCAAAGCCTTTCCGGCCTGCCTCGGAAGTGAAAGAGTCTCTTCAAAGTGAAGGAGTGGAAAAGACAGAGGCAAAACCATCAAAGTCAGGTAAAATTTCCAGTTTAAGTTATTTGAAAAGAAGTAGGTGAAATATTAATGTTCCCAGGCTTCCCATTCTTAATGCAAAGAGATGGTGTACATTGTCATAGCCAACGAAATGGTTGTTTCAGGCATCAATATTTCAGAGAAAGGTCTTCTTCATTAGTACATGTAAGACATGCTAACAAACAGAAGCTTTGACTTAAATTTTACTCTTTCATGTTTTAATACTTTACATTTACCAGTTTGGAATCTCATAGACATTTAAAAAGGTTAATCATAAGACTTTTTAGGTTTTCCCAAAGCTTAAAACTGCCTGCTGTGTGGAACAAATGAGAACAAAGCCTAATGACAATTATGTGTGGCTATCCCAGCAAGAAGCATTACCTTTCATGATAACCTGAAAAAAATAAAACAGGAAAGAAAGACAAATGCTGGAGGTTCAAGTGCTGTGATACAGCCTGTGGTCCCAAATTTTGGGAAGTCAGGCAAAAGATTCCCTGAACATAGAAGTTGTGGGTTAACCTTGATATATGGCAAGAGACCCTCTATTATAAACAACAACAAAAAATCCATTTTAATTCTACCAGGATACCAGGTCTTCTGATTCCCAGTTATTTACTAGCTAATTTAGTGGTCTCATCAGCTATGTATCTGATCATAAAACATAGCATTATATAATTGGTTTTAATGCATAAAATCAAACCAATACACTTCATATTGTCATGTTTATTTTCCTTAATCATTTTTTAATGACTTAAAATTTGTAACCATTTCACGTAATGTATTTTGATGATGCCCACCTCATTACACTTCCATCCTTCCTTGCCTCATACTGCCTCCCATCATCTGACTATGCAAACTACTCTTTTTTCTTTTATTTTTTCTGAGCCCATGTTAAATTCAGTCCTATTTGCATGTTAAGTATTGTCTGAGGGTTTTCATTGCTGTGAAGAGACACTATGACTACTGCAACTCTTATAGAGAAAACACATAATTGGGGTGGCTCACTTACAGTTTCAGAGGTTCAGTCCAGTATATCATAACCAGGAGCATGACAACATGCAGGCAGGCATGGTGGCTGGCTACGTCTTGACCAGAGGGCAGCAGGAAGTCGACTAACATCTCATACTGTCTGAAGCCTGAGAAAAGAGATCTCAAAGCCTACCCCCAGAGTGACACACTTCCTCCAACAAGACCACACCTACTCCAACAAGGCCACACCTCCTAATAGTGCCACTCCCTTTGGGGGCTATTTTCTTTCAAACTACCACAAGTATACAATCTACACCTGGTTACCCTTTAGCTGCTCTTTGTTCTTGATGAGTTCAGTGAAAATTAGAAGTAGAACACTTAATGAAAAGTATGAGAACGCATTCCTTCAACATTGTGGAGTAAAATGCAACCCACAACAAAATCAGCGATGAAAATGGTTTACATATGTTCCCTCATATCTCATCTTAGTTTTTAAAAATTGCATATTGTTCATTTGTGTGTGTGTGTGTGTGTGTGTGTGTGTGTGTGTGTGTGTGTGTGTGTGTATGCACATATGCTCCCAGGGGATCATGCATACAGTGGCACATGTGTGGAGATCAGAGGACAATGGATAGGAATAGGTTATCTCCTTCTGGTATGTTAGTTCCTGGGATGCAACTCAGGCTATCAGACTTCACAGGAAGCACCTTGACTGCTGAGCTGGGTTATGTGAGCAGCACAAGTATTTAATATTAATGACCAGATTTGAATTCTTCAGGAAACCACATTTGTTCACTTTTAAAAATGTTAATAAAGTCATTCTGCATTGGAAATAGATAAATTTGTATCAAATGTTTCATGAAGCTTTACCTCCATTTCGGTCAGCTTCATCCTCATTTTGTTATTCTGTTCTCTATTAACTCTCCTGGCTCTAATTATTCCTATGAACTTCACATCTATCATCACCACATTTAGAGTGATAAATCACCATTGAAAATGTGAAGGAAAAGCATGCTTTGGAACATTAATAGCCAAGATTCCAAAATATATAAACTTTCATCATTCAGTATAAGGCTGATTATGCCAAACTCTGCATCCTTGATCTCTTCTGGACCACTTCTCCGGCATTACTGGCATGCTGGTAATGACATCTTTAACCAGCTCCATGTTATTGGCTGACACACAAGTCACAAAGGACTTCCCCTCCGTTACTACTCCCTTTCTCGCCTTTACACTTTACTAAAATATATCTGCCCATACTCTCATGTTAACTGTTAAGTAAGGCAGAACTTCTAAGTGGCGCCAGTTAAGTGCAAGTGAGGAGATGGTGGCGTCTATAAACAGAGACAAAGTCGAATGACATGTATGTGTGGAGATGCCATGAGGAAAACCACACTTCGTATTCAAATTTAGAAAAAAGAATTCAAGTCTTACTTACTGTTAGTGTTTTTTTTGTCCCGTTGCTGCCCTTACTTGTAACTAGTTTCAGGGCAAAACCTCCAGTCGCCCCAAAGAGCCACACATAACTATCCATTCCAATGGGAACGTTAATGTTCCCAGTAAGTGTGAAAATCAGATGGTGGGAGCCATGTGACTTCCTTGAGGAACAAGGCCTGAAAATAGCACCATTGGCTCTCCTTGTGGCAAAGTCCTGGAGACCCTGACCCATTTGGCAAAACCTGTGGAGAGTTTGCTGCATGATTCTGGGATTGACCCCAGGAGCATATGTGCTACCTGCTCTTCTTGCTGTCACTATGCTAGCCCTGCTGCTGGCCTGAACGAGTCATAGTAGGTCATGCGGTTTAATATTACATATGTGCATAACCATTCTGGAATGAATGATTTTAACCACAAGAGTCTTTGAGAAATGTTACTCAATAGATGATATCAGGAGTTAAACAGTCTAGAAACAGGGAATGAAGCAGAGTCATAGAAACCCACAGTGCCTTAATCTCTAATAACTGTGCCAATACTCCAAGAACTTAAAGGAGAAGGACATGTAATCAGTTTTAGAAACTTAGAGAGTAAAAACTGATTGTAAAACTCTTTGTGCAAACCATTGAAACTGTATAAATAAAAACAGCCCAGACTATCAGGGGCCACTTGTTTGAACGACAGGTGATCACAATTTCTTCATGGCACCGACTTCACACATTCATCTCAGGTCATCAAATCCATCTGGAGCAAGGCTTACAGAAATCATAGAAATATTCATAAATGTACACATTGGGAAGAGGACCACATAAAGGAAGCCAGAGGTCTAGGACTTATCTTCAGGGTCCTGGGACAGATTTAAGTACAGATAATGTCAGAATTGAGGCAGGCTGGAGAGGTTGTATAACTCAGGAGTCATGGTCTAGGTGGACACTGTGCCAGTTCTGATTCTGTAAGATGATCTGAAGAGAATCCTTGTTGGTTGAGGGAACATGACACTTCTCAGGAGATGATGGCTTGTGTTCCAGAGCCAGCCCTGACATCATGGATAATTGCTGTGCTGCCTGGATTTTGTCAGCTGGACACACACTCTAGAATGTCATGTGAAGGATGATGTCAGTTGAGGAATGGTCTCCATCCGATTGCCCTTAGCTAAGTCTTCAAGGGCATTTTCTTGATTGCTGATTGACTTGGGAGGGCTCAGCTCACTGTGAGTGGCACCACTCTTGGGCAGGTGGTCCTGAGTTGTTTAAGAAAGCAGGCCGAGCAAGCCACAAGAAAAGCAGTAAGCAGTGTTCCTGCATGACTTCTGTTTGAGCGCCTGCTGTCAGGTTCCTGTCCTCAGTTCCTGCATCAGCTTCCCCTGATGATGGGCTGTGGTGGTAAAGTTGGTGGTCACAGCAGTAAAACTTAGCTAGAACAATTTCCTTCACCCAGGAAAAGGTTTACCCTGCAGGGCTCTCTTGTTCCTGGAACAGGCCTTGCAGATTCCATTTGGGAGCCCGGACAGGAAACTAAAAGCTGACAGTAATTATCTGAGTTGATTTTTGTGGCTTCAGCCCTGAAGAGGTACCACATAGGCTAGATGTGACTTGTTTCTAGTCAGACACTCTGCGTTTGATGTGCCTCTGTGTAGAGTTTAGTGGGTGGCCCAAAGCACAGGAGACAGATTCCAAGGGGAGGGATACCAAGACTTGATCCTGTTTTTAATGACATTGTAAGCCAATGGAGGAGTCAATATTTTTTAGGAAAAAAAATAATCTAAGTGCCTATTAGACTTTGATCATTTAAGACCAAAATATAATTTGGAAATATGAGCACTAAAATGCTGCTCTTTGCTGTGTCTTCCTGAATGCTGGTTACCTTTGCTTTTTTGATTATATTTTGATCATATTTCCTGTTGCTTTTTAGGGAACACTGAGAAGGATGCACGCTCAATGGTAACAACTGTTATGATTTTTATCTTAAATTGCTAAGTAGATATTATGTGAAATATATATCTTTAACAATGAGCCTTGTTTCCTAACCCATCCAGCCTACCACAGAAGTGGAGGATTCTCCTCAAAGCGAAGCAATGGAAAAGGCAGAGGCAAGACCGTCCAAATTAGGTGAAAACTCCAGGTCTAATTACCAGGAACAAAGTAGGTGTAAGGTTAATGTGCACAGGGTTCCTGTCCCAATTCCACACAACCGCAGAGGACGGGGAAATCTGTCATTCCCAGTGCTGCTGTCCTCATTGGCATCCATATTTCAGAAAAATGTATGAGATGTTGACAAATGGATTCCAACTTAGATTTTTTTCTCCTTTTCTGTTTTAATGCCTTAAATTTATCCGTTTAGAATCTGTCCCTCATAGGCCCTTACCAAGGTTCATCATGGGGCTTATCAGATGCTCCTAAAATTTAAACATGCTGGGACTGGATACAATTGAGGACATAGTCTAAGACAACTATGTATAAATGTGTCAGGATGCGGTATAGGTATCCATGATAATCTGAAAAACATCAGTTGAAATATAAATAAAATGCCAGAGATGTAGATGCTGTGACACAACCCAGAGTCTCAGATCCTGGAGCCCAGGAGTTCTGGACTAGCTTTGGCACACAGCAACATAATTTCTATCTAAAGATAAATAAAGCAAAGCCCATTTTAGTCATATCCTGACACTACGTCATTTATTAATAATTCAGTTTTTTTCAGTTAACTTAGTGATGTCATCAGATATATATCTGATCACAAAATAAAATATTATATATTAGATAAAATGTATAAGGTCAAACTCATACAACCTTCAAAGTGAATTAATTGTATTTAAATTTTCTTCACTTTTACTTTTCCTTATTTGCTTGTTTTTAAGTCAGTTTTGAGTATTTCATACGTGTATAGAAAACAATGTGACCAAAACCACCCCCATTAACCTCTCTTCCACTCCATTCATCTTGGCTTTCTCAAATAATTGTTTTTCTATTATTTTCTTTTTTTCTGAGTGGTTCAGAATCATTCTACCTGCATCCTAAGCATAACCTCTATAAGGAGCAGCTCCCTGAGTCCCACTCTGGTTTCTCACATGGTTCAGTAGAAATGAGACACAGAAATGCTAGAAAACATTAGACTGAGCCCCTTCAGCATCAACCATAGGAATATAAATCATGAAGCATTGACTATAGGAACATAATCCATAAATGCCCAGGGCTGGCAGATATCCTGTTGCTCTTCTCATTGAATTTGCTTATTGTTCATGTTGATGGCAAGAATCTGTTCTTCAGGAATCCAGATTAGAGCTTTAAAAACAACTAAAATTCCCTATAGTGGAAATTGATGTTTATATCATAAATTTCTAAATATTTCTGGATGCTTTACTTCAAGTCTGTCCAGTTTCATCTTCATTTTGTAACACTGCTTTCTATTCACTCCTCTTCCACTACTGGAGACCCTATCTCAATGAATGAATGAATGAATGAATGAATGAATGAGGGAAAAGATATCGTACCAACCAGTCCATGAGTAGAAGTGTTAGGCATATAAGTCAATAATTTCATGTGGTAAGCATGTAAGATGAACTCTGAATACAGTATTTAGGTAGCCTCCAGGAAAATCAATCCCTGTAAATCTAGAGAGAGTCAAAATGAGGAAGACTCATGTAACAGAATGTTAAACATTTGTCAGAGTAGTGCATCAAAAACATGTTCAGCATAAGGAACAAGTTCACAGACAAATGTGTACACAGGAGTAATATTATTTTGATGAATACATTTTTAATAGTTTAAAAGTTATTTTGAGGTAGAAAATAATTTAGAGTATTAATTTTTTCAAATGATATTTAAAAATTTTTGTTATTGGGGGTTTGTTCATGCATGTTGAATGGATTAATTGTGGATGAATCTTTGAAATGTTTGTATGTCATCTTTAAAACATCCAATATCTATCCAAGTGATACATATATGTTTTGAATAATTAGATCTATTTTATAAATAAACCTTAAAGGTGATTGAGATAATTTCTTGAGAAAATATAGATTACATTTTTATTATCATTAATGTTAAATAGGTATATGTTGCTATATAATGTTCTCAATGCATAATGTTCTATAAGTTGCTATAGAAAGTGTAACCTTGTCTAACTCTTATTAGTAACTTATGTTCAGCATGTACACATGATATACACATGATCTATACATGTTTATTTTATCTCCAGAACCAGGCTTACGAGTGTCCTCAGAGAAAAAGTCAAAAAAATGTGATCACAAAGAAAGTAACCGGCCATTGGTAAAGTTTCAATTGCTCATCCAGTATTGTCTGCTTTTATTGAAGATGATTTTAAAGGCCAAGTGGAATTTTCTTGAAACTGCCTTGAAAATTTAGTAGATGATTCCACATTTAATTTTTAAAGTGTTTCAACTAGCTATAGAACTTAGACAGGACAGTGACATGCAACTACACATATATGTGAGCATGTAGTGTGTGTTCTTATTTGTTAACCTTCTCCATGACACCAAGGTCATGTAAGAACCAAACCTTATGGAAAATCAGCTGAAGTTACAAGCAACCTAACAGTTACCGACCATGAGTGTGATCATTCCCGGGGTCAAGTATATGGTTTCATGTTATCGGCCAGTAACATTTGGTTAAACTTCCAATCCTTGCTTTGATACCTAGTTGACTTCAGTGTTTTGTAGAAAGGGGGACTAGGAAATTTAAAGGCTCCATTGCCCAATAAGTGACTGATTGGTCCTTCCATGATGGACCCTCTGGAGTGAGAGTAGATATCTTTCCTCTTTGTCTTCATCTCAATGAAAGAAACCACTAAATATGCTAATGCCGTGCACTGGTTTCAGTGTCCATAAGAATATGTTAGGACCAAATGATGTAGATACTTTATATGAAAGCATGACACTTAACATTCTGTCAGTAAATAGCAGCTAATTGAGCAACATCTGAAATTTTCTGTGTATTCTCATTGTTATATTTTGTGGGTTCAGTTCTCAAGCTGAGTATCGTATTTTAAAACAAAAGCAATTTATGTTGTTTAAAATATTTTAAATAACTAATATTTTATTTATACCAAGTGAATGTTTATGATTTGTGTGTGTTGTAAAAATATTCTTTTTGGTCTGAAATACATATTAGATATTTTATTTTGTCTTTTTTTCCCTCCGGAGCTGAGGACCAAACTCCAGGCTTTGCGCTTGTTGGCAAGTGCTCTACCAATGAGCTAAATCCCCAACCCCCGCATTAGATATTTTAAAGGCAATTTCCTTGTTGACGTTTTCATGAGAGCAAATGTTAGAATTTTTAAGACTATGCTTACTGTCAACTCTCACGTTTGACTAAAGACTGAGTAGCCATGAAAGTAAAACATAGATTTGACCTAGGGAGTATATGCCAGGTTCTTTAGTGAAATACATTCACTCTAGTACATTATCTTATGTCTAATTGCTTTCAAAATTACAATTGTGACATAGTTTTAGAAAAAGGATTGGCAAAAGATGTGCTACTCTTTCTTGATGTGAACTTTAACAGAAATTTTTCGAGAGGGTTTTTCGGGATAGTCATTCCTCCGGGACTCGAGAAGAGAAAAGCAAAGACATCACAAAAGGAAGAGTTCTAGGTAAGAAACATTCTTTTATTTAAAAACATTAACTGAGGGGCTAGAGAGACGTCTCAGCCATTAACAGCACTTGTTGCTCTTGCAGAGGACCCAGTACCCACACAGTGAGCCATCATGGGCACCGGACATGCATGTGCTGCACATTTATTGTATACATAAAGTAAAATAAATAAATAAATCTAAAGCAAACCTTTGAAGTTATTTGTCAGAAATATTTGTGTAAATTTGAATAAAGGAAAGAATATTTTATGAACTCTTACTCTGAAACAGTATATCCACTCTTTTCAATTTGGAAACATCACCCTCAAAAATGAATTCTACATTTCATTCAACCGATAAGAAAACACTGTTCTTCCTAAATTAAAGGATGACTTGGAAATCTGTCTAGTCAACTCCGTCATTTACCTGTTGGAACCATTTTTTCCTCTTATTGTAGATCACAAGTCTCTCCATCAGCCAGAATGTTGCCACCCCTAGGTCCACACTTCTCTACTTTAGTTAACATCCATTGAGTATGTTATCACTATTTTGTAATATAAACTGTATGTTTCATTAACTATGTATGCATTTCAACAGCATATTTTATATTTCTATGCTGACCAGAGTAAAGACAAAACTTAAAATAATCATTTTTCGAGTACTGCATGGCTGTCATTCCCATCTATCTCTTCATGTGTCCAGAGTGGGTATTGTCATAATTCATAATTTTGACCATTTTCCCTGTTACCTTTTAGCATGGGTTGAAAAAGATGATCTCTCTAAGGTAAAAAAAATATATCTTTTTTTCTTGAATTATTAAGGATATGCATTGTAAAGCACACAACATTTACTAAATATCTTGCTTCAAATCCTATCCAGCCTAGAACTACAGAGAAAAAGTCTTCCACAGATGAAGTAGAAATGATCACATTAAAGCCTTTCAAATCAGGTACATTTTTATAATTCAACAGAATCTGGAAAGAAAAGGTATTAACACTGCCTACCACTTTCACAATCTTCATTCTATTCCCCCAATACTGATGGCAAAATAAGATTTAAAGGATTCAGTTTTCACTGTTCCTATCAGTGTTTCAGGGGAGTCATTCACAAGCATAAATAGAAGATTAAAATATGTAGAGACTGGCTTAGAGGTTTCTAGTTTCGTGTTTCAGTATCAAAAACGTATTTAGACTCTAACCATCACAGACATTGATAAAGATTATTATTAGACGTCTTAGATTTTTCCCAAGTTTAAAAGTGCTTACTAGAGATCTGGGTGTCATGATCCACACATGTGCTCTTAGCCACTCGAGAGGCTGAAACAGGGCGTTTCTTGTACCCAGAAATTCTGTGTTGGTGTGGTTGCAAAGCAAGATATACCCTCTTAAAGATAAAAACACAGAACCAATTTTCATTCCACATACAGTCCGTTTGTGATCTCTGCCTAAGTTGAGTACAACATTCTGTACCAGTTTAGTGCTGATAAATCATCACTGCTGGCACGTAACAATCATCTGACGTAATATTGTACACTTTTGAATAAGCCACAAATCCAAACATTCTTACTTTTTCATCCGTCGTGTTTGCTGTATCATTTTCTTCCTTTTTACACTGGGGGATACGCTGGGGAATCCCAGGATTTTTCACTTGAAATTGCACAGTCTTCTATGTGTGTTACTACCCCTACCTTCTATTTATCATCATCATCATCATCATCAGTATTATTATTCTCAGCTTTGTAGCAACAAAGAGCACAATGCTTACCAGAAGAGCTGAGTAAATTCCCTCAAAATTTACGATGAGCCGGGCGGTGGTGGCGCACGCCTTTAATCCCAGCACTTGGGAGGCAGAGGCAGGAGGATCTTTGTGAGTTCGAGGCCAGCCTGGTCTACAGAGCGAGATCCAGGAAAGGCGCAAAGCTGCACAGAGAAACCCTGTCTCGAAAATATTGAGCAACCAAGGACAAAAACAAACATTTGAGTTTCTTTTTACATCTGACTTTTTTCTTTCTCCCAGTAATTACTGGCATTTCATACTTGAGGAATTCATATTTATGCATTTTTCATTTAGCAAAATCCACTGTCTTCTTGTCACTAATGAGGGTATACCCTAGATATTTCTGAAAACACTACCTCTGTTTCTGCCTTTCATCATGTTTATCTCTGCTTTGTTGCCTTCTCTGAGTTGTCTGACCCCATCATTCACACTCCACTTACACCTGTTCTCCACCACTTAAAGAATATACATGTACAATGCAACATGAAGACGTTAACACACAACTTCTCAGTTACAAGGCTTTTGTAATCTACCTCCACACCAGTCTCCCTCTGTAGTTCTTTTCTCTAGCATTATTGGCGTTTCCGTCTTCACCAATAACTCTTGTTTGACAAGCACTCTATTGAATACTCCTCTTCCTCTGTGGGTGCCATCTCTTGTGCTGTCATCATTCCCTGCCTTCCACCTGCCTCAAGTTGCTCTTTCAATGTCAGAGCAGGCATCACCTCCAGGAAAGGTACGCACTGCACATTTCAAGCACACTTTCAAAAGTGCTGGGCCATCCCCTAGAAGGTGCAATAATAAGTACTTACTGAGCAAAACAAAGAAGGAGAATATATACTTAAATGACTGAAAAGATTGTCCACTCCAGTCTGAGAGTCAACTGTGTAGACACACAAAGAAATCATTTATAACTCAAGAGGTAATGGTGAGATCTACTAACAGAGTGCTGCGGTAACCCTAAGCAAAGTGCCACCTGTTTAGCAAGGGAGAGGCATAATCAAGGATGGCTTTAAATATTAGATGGAATTTTAACAGATAACTTGTCAGGATGTGTCAGACGGTAAAGCTTAAGGTTACTTGAAATTCTTTGGGAAATCAAAAATGCACTTTATTATCATTGATTTTTAAGCTGTTTCTACATATTGACAGAGACTATTATTTTATGTCATTTTTAAAAAGTTTATGTTCACAAAATATATAGATTTGTCTCTAGAGGTAGTCATAGAAGTGTCATCAGAAGAAGAACAGAAGGGATATGATGATGATAATGATGATGATGGTAATGGCTTTGCACATCCTCAACACTTGGTAAGGAAACCTTTAATTTCTCATTTATTGTTTTCTGTTTAATAGCATAGCACTAAACATATGCAATTAACTTCAAATTATCTTATAGGACCAATAGAAAATTTTATCCTATTTTTCAGTTCTATCTAATTATAAAGTCTAGAATGTTCTTAGACTCTACAGTAACTTATCATTAAATTTTATGCTAGGATGTGTGGCATAATTTTATTTTTGCTCCATATATAAAACTTCTTTAAATTATACAAAGTAAAATCAAATTGTATCTTATGGCTAGACAATAATAATTTTGAACAAAGTAGAATTAATGGTACCTGTATTGGATTCATGCAAAAGGGTGGTCATTCTCAGTGGTTCAGAATTTGTGGCTTTACATTACTAGTCAGTGACACCTGGGTTAAAGTTTGGATTCTATTTTTCTATCTCTAGTTGACTTCAGTGTATTTCTAGAGGCAGGGAATAAGGTGATGCTAACACTAACCCATATTAAGGGCAAATAATTCACAATGTTATCTAGTGTTTTGAGGGGACATTATTATACATTTTGGCTAGGCTTCATTTAGACACTTCATAGGCTACATGATACTACCATTATATACAATTTATAGATTGATGTATAAAACTTTTTCCTTCTGTGTGCTGGGATTTTCATATTTTTTTATTTTTATATCTTCTTCTCTCCTTACATCCCACAGATGAGTTACTCACAGCTCAAATATTCCCTTGCAGCAAATAGTTCTTCCATGTCTGTTCTGTCATTCACCATGATCTCTGTTATTGACCAATTGAGTTAAATATTTCTGGTCAGATGTTGAGTGCGGCTGTCATTCATCAATCATTCCACACAAGATTCGTCACACTATGTGCCCCTTATTTCAGGAAAGAACAGAATTTATATGATTATTTGTGTTTTTTGAATATGCAAAATGGAAGCCATTTATATAGTTTTCAGTTCAAACCTACATGAATAAAATACTGATAAAATATGAATTTCTGCACTATTCAGCTTGAGTTAATTTTCATAAATATAAATCATTCAAACAGAAGCAAATAGTTTATTAAAATATGGTAGGAACACAGCATAAAATGCATTATATGGAATTACAAAGAATTATAAATTTTTTAACATTTTAGTATTTTTTAAAAATACTGCATATTTAGCCAAGAGTGGTGGCACATGCCTTTAATGCCAGCACTCGGGAGGTAAAGGGAGGCAGATCTTTGTGAGTTTGAGACCAACCAGGTCTGCATAGTAAGTTCCAGGATGGCCAGAGTTGTATAATAGTGAGACCCTGTCTTAAAAAATACAAAAAAAAAAAAATACTGCATATTAAAGAAGTAAGTTTTAAAATATATGCTATTTGGGTTCAGATAATTGTTTAGTGAGGGCTGGAAAGATTGCCCAGAGGGTAAAGTGTTGCACAAGCTTAAGAAACTGAGTTCAGATTCCCAGGCTCGATGGTGCGTAACTCTGTGCTGGGAGTAAGGATGGACATAGGTGGATTCTTGAAGCTTGTTAACTAGCCAGTCTAGCCAAAATAGCAAGCACACAAAATAAGGAGGGAGATACCTATAGTCGGTCTCTGGCCTCCACACATACAATCGCAGGTGAGAGCACATAAACACCGTGAAGTACATAGATAAGGGTGGAGGATGGGCACAGGGAAAGAAAGAGTATGATAAAATGATAATGTGTGGGCCGGGCAGTGGTGGCGCACGCCTTTAATCCCAGCACTCGGAAGGCAGAGACAGAGGCAGGCAGATCTCTGTGAGTTCGAGGCCAGCCTGGGCTACAGAGTGAATTCCAGGAAAGGTGTCAAAGCTACACAGAGAAACCCTGTCTCGAAAAAAAAAGAAAAGAAAGAAAAAGAAAAGAAAAAAATGATAATGTGTAAAATTCTCAAAGAATAAGTAAATACATTTTTAAAAAGTTCAGTGGCTCTCCATATTATGCAATAAAGATTTATAATACTTTCTATTATAATTTAATATTTGTAAAGGAAAAATTGTGTCTCTCTGGAATGATCCTGATTTATCTTTCCCTAGTAGTATATACATGAAAGTGTATGCACATATACATGCCAATGTGTAGTTGTTTTTGAGATGAAACGACAAACTCTCCTAGACTCACAAGGAGGGAAAAACTGCCTGTGGAGTGTAAACAATTACCTCTGGAAGATGATGTTAGGTTTGTAAATATCTCCAGCCATTAGGATACTGTGAGGGCGCCTGGCACTATACTCTGGATATGTTATTGGCTATGGTAGTCACAGTTTTTTTTTTTTTAAATCTCTCTTTACTTTGTGATGCTAGAGATCACACATATCTAGAGATACCAGGAACATACCCCACAACCCATCTGGACTGCAGGCTCAATATTTGGAGATGTAAATCCCATACGT